GTTGAGAATGATTCCGTTCTTATCACAGTGAAGCAAAAAACTGAAGGTGTGATAGAACGCTTCGGTGATGATGGAGTCGTATAATAATGTGTTGTTCACGATTTTGATTTTACGGGGGAATATCCTTTATTATCTCGTCGTATCTGCGGGTGTACGCGTCCCAAGATGCAAGATAGCCTTGAGGCATTCTGAGACGCATAAATCTTCACCATTCCGTGATGAAAGTGGTAAGTGGCTGGGATTCTTTGTCTAATGCTATTGAGTGGTACCCCTCGACAGCGTCTAATACAGTGATGTTTGTTGTTGTTGTTTTAGGTGGTACCTGAAGTGACAATTGGAACAGTGACCCAGTATGATGTGTCTCCCGTTAACATTGAAAATTCAGGTGTTGGTAATCTATGGTTCTGTGTGGTTTACCTTCTTTTTTTGTTTTTTTAGCTGAGATGAGAATTATGCTACACCAATTCGTGGGCATGTCAATAGGTACTGGTGCTATTATGCCTCTTTCTATGTCCTTCCAAAGGGCATGTTTTGCTTGTTCCTTGTAATGGAAAGGCACAGGAATTGGGCTAATGACTTTAGGGATTGCACCTTCTTTTAGATGTTGTTAGGCGGCGGAACCGGACATAGATGGTAGTAGATCATGGCAGGTAAGGTGCTTAACCACTTCAGCACTGATTAAAGCCTCGAAGACTTTGCCGAAGCGTGGTAAGAGACTAATAGGACGGTAATTAGATGGGTCAGAAGGGTCTCCAAAGCTCTTAAAAACAGGGACAACAGATGAGAACTTCCAACTGGCTGGAAAGCAAGAGTCAGCGAGGTAATAATTATATAGTTTAGAGATGATTCCCAATACTATCGACGGGGTTATGCTCATCTCACAAATAGAGATCCAGTTCTAGGGGGAAAATCAGGTGCGGGTACTCCGAATGAGTCGGGTGTTGAATTGGATGAAAATTTCCGAGCAAACGCATTCAGCCTTATCAGCTGAGGAGGTTAGGACTTCGGATTGATTGAATAGAGGTAGGATCGTGGGTTTGCTGTTGTTCAGCACACTCTTGCAGGGCTGCCAATAATGTTTGGAACCAAACTAGCGATATGCAATACGTTGTTTCATTATGCCAGCAAATAGTAACTTTGCTTCATTGAGGACACGCTTGTACTCGTTACGAGTAGTTACAAAAAGTTGTTATAATCAGACAAGTCGCTCCGGTACAGACAGAAGTGATTCCTATGGGCTATAGCTGCTGAGCCAACTGAAAACCAGGAAATGAGCGCGATTTAATTGTATTTTTGCTGGGATGAAAGCCTCGATGTCAGTTTTTACCCAGGAGACCTCAGACTAACATTTTTGAACGAGATGGTTACAAATCACATTCCAAGGGACGTCGCGAAGGAAATCCTCGAGCCCCATCTGCGCGTAAAAGATATTCTGTTAGAGGTATTGGCTGGGGTAATCATAGTTCTAGATGTTAATAGACACTACTTCTATGATCAAAGTTCCAAGAGGGCAGAGCTGTGTAGCACGACAAAGGTCAGGGATGGAGATAAAACAGAGATCAAAGTCAAGCGTTACCATCAGGATTTTGTGAAAACATGTAAAAAAGTCAACCACTTATCTGAGGGATTGTTCTGATTGAAAAGTTAAGGTTTGGGGTCCAACAAGGTCAATTACAGATATTTTTCCACATGATATGGTGGGCGTTAAAGTTACCGAAATTCCTATGCAAACTGATGTAGAGAGATGGCCTTGTCTATATTATCGAAAATGCTATCGAACACCATCTTAAAAAACGATAAAGAAGTCATAGCTTACTGAGTTGAAAAAATCGGAGACACATATATGAATAGCTGGAATTCCAAAGATGTTCCTGGCCAGCGCTGAATGATCGACATAGACTCCCAACACATGCATGTAGATTTTAGAGTCTTTCCTAAGGAGAGGAAGGTAGCCAGGAATCAAGAAATCAGAGGATAGGGCTGACGAAAGGTTACTCTTGCAGAGTGCTAGTATATCAGGAGACAATTGAAAGACAAAAAAAAACTCAGAATATTCAAAAAATGTCACTTTTTGGAAGAAATGGAAAATGATTATCTTGGGAAATAAGAAAATCCTTGAAACTAAATAACAGGAATATGTAAAAAAAATGTCTGAATATCCGAGCAAAACCAAATGCGAGATGAATAGAATGATTCATTAGCTAAAGAATTTAAATCAAGAATTCACAGACCAAAAGCAAATGTCATTGTGATGCATATATCTTTACATCCCAAAGACAACACAGCAAAAGATATATGGAAAAATTGAAATGGATGCTGGCTCAGATTGGGAATCAGAGAACCATGTTCAAATTCCTATCAAGTTTGTTATATTTGCCTTTGGAAACGTATTCTCTTGTATGGGTAAAATTGTCCTCAGGCTTTGGCAACCAGTCTAGAAGATAACTCTGAATTCAAAACTTAACAACTATGAGTTAAATAGCCTCACCAACACGCAACTGGCTAAGTGTGGTGAATACATCTACACCCCTGAAGAGATGGTCAATGAGGGACAGGTATTCCTCCAGGGAGTGAGAAGGCTTGGGATCTGATTCTGCATTTGTTCTAATGAGTTTTAATCCCTCGTATGTTTTTTTCTGTGTTAAATAGAGGCATTTAATAATAACAATAACAATAGAAATGACAGCAAAAATAATATTTATAATAATTGTTGATTATCTCCCTTGATCTGATATTGTTGCGTATAAGTAGCAACCATATTGGTTGACACTGGCTCTTTGTAAACAACTAACAATAATAATAACAACAGCAATAATAATTTGAGAAGACACACAGAAGAATGCATAATTTGATGAATATGCATAAGGCTGTGAATCTAAACAGTGATGTCAGCAGGTTTTATATTACAAGAAAGGAGGAAGAGAAACAGAGCCACTCATTTGTGCAGAACAGGAGAAGGCCATCAAAATGAATGCAATCATTCTAGATAAAATCAAAAGAAAAATCTGCAATGTTATTGGTTCTAACCTGGCATCTCAGCTTCAGTCACGTTCACATCACTGTAATGTCGCTTCCATGTGCCTTTTCCATAAACACTTTTATGGTAATTGTTCTGATGAACTTTCCTTTATGATCCCTAGACTTTATGAATTTAAGTGCAGTACTAGATTGGCAGCAAAGTCTCAGCATCTTACAGTTGAAATGGTGAGATGCAATCATAAGTTCTATGCTAACAGTTTCTTCTCTTGCACTTCTCATTTGTGGAACTCTCTTCTGGCTTCTTGCTTCACTATCAACTTTGATTTAAATCCAATGTCAATTGTTATCTTCTGTCTTCTTAATTCTTGTTCTTTTATTGTCCTCTCTCCTTAATACTATATTTTTCTCATATTCTCTAACACTCAGTAATTCCTTGTATCTTAGTGGCTTTATTGCCTTGGTTGGGATGAAATGATTAAAAAAAATCAAAGTCAGTACAAAAAAAATCACAAGTAAACAGCAAATGCCAGATGTATGGACAGGCTGATGAGACAGGTAACCACATGATTGGTGAATGTCCCAAGTTAACACAAAAGGTAAGGAGAATAGAAAATGTCAAATTATTGACTTTGCTGTTCCATATGATACAAGGCTACAAAGAAAGTGAAAGGATTGAAAAATACCATTATATGACAAGGGAGTTGAACTGATAACACATGACTGTTGAAGTAATTCCTGTAGTAATGGAAGCACTTGGAGCACTTGCAGCACCACCTAGAAACATGAAAGAGTGGGAGAATTGGAATTGAGACCAAGATTGTATACCCCCAGAACTTTTTAATCCTGCGAGAATTCTCTGAAAAGTTCTTAAGTTGTGAGGAAGGAGTCTTGTTGACACCATGTCTCAAGAAGAGAATATACATTGACGACTACATCAATGTGTGACACCAACATAATAATAATAATTATTATTATTATTATTATTATTATTATTATTATATTTTCATGGCAATTGTTTTGATGAGCTGTTCTCCCTAGTGGTCTGACTGCATGAATTTAAATGTGCCACTAGATTGGCAACTAGGTCTCACCATTTGACTGTTGAACTAAGCTAGATACAACTATCACTTCTATTCTAATATCCTCGCCATGATTTCCCCTCAGTCTCTGTCCTCTCTGAGCTTTTGACTTCCCAAGTGTTGAAAAGGTTTAAACTTTTAATGACACCCCAGATTATATATAAGAGGAATTATGTGAAATATAGGAAAACCAAAATTAATAATAGACTTGGATTTTAAACCTGATGCACTGATAATAACAATAAAAATAGTAACAGCAACAACAACAACAACAATAATAATAATAATAATATCAACAATCCCTGTTGTAGTTGGAGCCCTAGAAATAGTTGGAAAAGATTCCAGTAGACTAATTGAAGGGATTCCTGGAAGTCCATGCCTCAAAGAGATACGAAAATTGTTCTGACAAGTACAGCCCACACTTAATGAAGGGCTTTATCTCTGTTTTTTTTTTTTTTTTTTTTTTTTGTCAGTGGAATGTGTCATGATGCCATTTCTAACCTTAGGTCCCTGGGCAGGACCCTGAAAGAAATGTGTAAATTCCAGAAATCAAAGAAAATAAAAATAATAATAATAATAATAACATTCAGGTCGCTATTGTATCCTAGTGCTCACTTGGACATTAGGGTCTCTACCATTGAAGCTGAAGTCCTAATTCAAGAAAACTAAAACAAGCTGAGTATCTCATTGTTTCAGAAGTCAGTGTTGTTTGGCACTGTAAATATTCTGTGAAAAGTTCTGTCAATATTGACTTCGTAAACCATTGATGATCCTCATCCGTAATTCAAGATCTCCAAAAATGAAAATGAAAACAGTTTGATGTAAAGAAATATTCTATTTTGAAACAATTTGATGAAAAAGAAATTTAAGTACTGTAAATATGAATTATTAAAAGCAGAAAGAAATTTAAAAAGTGTCTAATTAAGTAAAAAAAATACTTACATGAATAAACTGGCAGAAGGTAAAAAATCAGAATTTGAAAATCTGACTTCATTGTGGGATTTTTAAATGACATATGAGTAAAAAAGTTCCAGTTTTGAAAAAATGTAAAATCTCTTAGTATGTGAAATAACAAATAATTTTTGTGACAAACAGAATTTCTATTGTTTCATACTTGAAATATTTAGAGACTAACAGGATATTTATCTGAGCTATTTATAAGCTTATAATCACTGAGGGTGTGTTGAAAGTAATTGAATATTTAGGAGGATGTTGACGAGACAGATGGTCGTCATAATCTAACATGGCGTTATATTTAATTGATCCTACTTATTTTTATTTAGAGAATATATTACAAGATAGATGGATAATAGATAGATAGATAGATAGATAGATTCCTAGATAGATTTTCAAATCTAAATAGATAGATAGATAGATAGATGATAGATAGATAGATAGATAGATAAAAAACGTTTTTTAACAGCAGATAAATTAGAAATTAGAACTTCAATTTTTGCTTCAATCATTCTTTTATTTTACTTGCATATTTTCAAAAATAGAAATAAAACCAACTATAAGAAAAAAGAAATTTATTTCAGACTGCAACAGTAACATAAACTTATAAATTTGAATAAAAAGATTTTTGTATTTGAATGGAAGATATGTAGAAATTAAAAAAAAAATGTTTATTAACATTTAAAGTTAACCCTATGATAAAATTTCCCAGTTGGAAAATTTTTATTTAATAAATAAATCCATTATTTTGTTATTAGTAGAAATTTAACCCATCTTTGTTAATGAATTTTGCCTTGGAATAAAAATTTCCATCATTGACCAAAATTTTATCATCTTCTTCACACTTTATATCCATTGAATGTTTCAGAATATCTTCTTAAAATATTTTTTATTCTCATTAAAAATTGTCAAAATTTTTTTCATCTTTTGGATGAAAATAGACTCAAATATTTGATTTAAAGAAAAATTTATTAAATTTGTATGTAAAATGAAAAATTATCATTTTCTAGGGTAGAATGAATTTAATGAAAATTATTGCTTTACTTTCTGGTGCGAATTTCTTCAACATAAAATTTCTAAGAAAATAATTTTATTTAAAGAGAATTTTGAGAAAACTGAAATATGTTACTACAGAAAGATGCTGGATCAAACATGTGTGCAACAACAAGCAGAGAATGGAAACAAAAATGAAACTTATAGTTAACATCAGGAAGAGGCAGCTAAAATTTCTGGTGCACATAATGAAGGCTTGGAAAATCTGATCCTCACAGGGCAGATTAAGAGAAAGAGGGACGGAGGAAAGCAGTGCATAGTGTACTTGATGAGCTTGAGCAAGCAAATGGTAGAACAGAGTTCAGAAAGACAAAACGTAAGAGGTATAGGAAAGGGATAGGAAGATGTGGAGCGCCATGATCGCCTATATCATTAGCATTTTCAAAGGTGAACACATGCTCATTACATTTTCTGAAAATAACTTCAGTTAATAAAATGAACAAAAAATGGGAATTTATTTTAGTGCAGGATTTTGTTCAGGATTTCCTGTAGTCGTAATGTCAGACACGTTAGAGAGATAAAAACCTGTCAAACAATGAGACATTTATTATTATGGAAGTGCCATCTGTGTCCTCATATATAAAAGTGTGTTTGTATGTAAGTAAATAAAAATAACAAAGACCAAAACTGAAGTTCAACACGAGAATTGATAAAAAAAAGAAAACTTTTTTTTTTTTTTTTTAAACCTTGACTTCTTCAGTTATCAGTGGGTGGGGACCTATATGTACAAATGGCCTCCTAACGTAACCCTCTGCCTCAATTTGCCTGAGCCTTGTAAAGGATTAACCTTACTGATAAGAAAAGAAGCAAAAAAAGAAATACTATGAGAGATGATCTATGCAAATAGAGGAGCTACCCACACTAAATAGCATAACAAAAACAATGTAAATAGTACAAGATTCTCAAAACAGATATGAAACCTTAAAAATTTTCAAGGTATTTTGATATGTTTTAGAAAAATGGAAACAACACTAAGTTACAACAACATATTAGAAATATGAAACATTTGCCAAGAATAGAATATAGCTATCATCACCTTTTCAAAACAATATAAACACTTAAACAAAAAATCAGATTTCCTATCCAAATGCAGACATTAACTTTCAAACTGAGAATTGCATCACTGAGGTTTCCTTTTGGGTCAAAGCCAGCATGGATGCTCTCATTCCTTCTTGGAAATATCAAGTAAAAATTCAATCCTTTCCATGGTTCAAACCAGAATGCTCGGCCATATAGCAGACAGGAACCACTATTTCTAGCTATACCAGTGTGACAGTAACCATCACAACAGATAGCTATTCTGGGCTGCATGTAATAAATGTAAACATGCTTTCGAAGGAGCAAAGTTTCTGTTTATTGAGAGAATGAGGAACCATATTGCATCTAACAATTTTGGCTCTCATGATTATTGGCAGCTGTATAATAGTGTATTAAATAAGAATAAGTTTTCTATTTCTTCTCGCTTCAATCAATTTGAGATGTTAACATCTTCTGATGATAAAACTGAATGCTTTGCCTGTAAAATCTCCTTTAACTCTACACTTGATTCATCTGGAACATCCTTGCCTCACTTCCCACTTAGAACTTAATCTTTGTTGAGTGATATTCTTATGATTTCCTTCTATGTTTCTGTTATCATCTCTAAACTGGATCTACATAAAGCATATGGACCTGATTGTCTCCTAGTAATAGTCTTTATGAAGTGGACTCCCGAACTGGATCCTGTTCTCTTTAAACTGTAAAATTCCAGTTTTAAGAATTCAGGTCAGCTGTTTGACCCTTTCAACTACTGGCTTATTATTAATCTTCTGCCTCTTTTTACCAAATTTACTATAGAATGATCCCCCAATCAATATTGAATTAGTTAAGTATCACACATCGAAGGATCTTTTTTCCAACAAGCAATACAACTTTTGTTTCTTGCAGAACTTCCATATAAATAGGATAATCGTGAAAAATATATGTCAAATTTTTTCAGGAAAGATCAATATTGCTTTAGACATCGGAAAATTTTAACAAAAGGCATACAGGTCTTCTTCAAAATTTGAAAAAACCTGTCTCATTAAACAAAATGCAAAATTTTTTTCAGTCTTGCATATCACCCCTACGGCTATATCCTTTTCTAATTTTATAATGTGTCACCTTTCTAATGGCAACAAAATCAACTTCATTAATATATAACAAATATATATAATATATATATATATATATATATATATATATATATATATATTTGAAAAAACTTAAATTATAACCCATGGTTTAAATTAATCCATTATATAATAAATAACTGAAAAATTAAAAACCTACAAATTCAAAAAAACATTTTGATGAATTGGATCGAATTTTTGATTCCAATGGAATTAAAAATTTAGTAAACCAAATATTCAAAAATGTTTTAAAAAATCCTTAATCTGTCCTGGACATTCAGTTCTAATTGGATTTCATCCTCTTGTTTTTTATTCAAAAAATATACATGTATGTGTATTTTATTATGTATATATATTTATATATTTAATATTTAAAATATTTATTTTAATTTATACAAAATGACTTTAAAACAAATACATACATATATATATATATATATATTATAGTTTATGCAAACTTAGGTAATCCGTATGGGTAGACCCGAGGATATATATCCATATATATATATATAAAATTATATATATATATGTTTGAATAAAAAGACAGACCACGTTAAGATTCCATGTAATAAGTTATTTCACCATAACCCCTTTAACAGGGTTCTGGATCATCAGACTTTACTTCCAAAAAACTGAAATGAAAAATGAAGAGAAATTCACACGTTTTTGACGGACCTCATCAAGTATACGTAAAATTAACGAAGTGAGGAAGTGAGGTGGGAGAGAGGATATGAGTGTGTCATATGTATCATTTCAATTTCCTATTTTTAACCCCAGTGTGTCGGCTAGATGTTGCTCAAATTTAACGCATCTCGTCTCTAGATATAATACTGACATTAAAGGAAGAAGCTACAACAACCCCAATCAATTACACGACAGGTTTCATTCAAATTCTTAGACGCTGTTAATTTGTGTTACTTTAACGTGCATATTTGGGAGGTTAAGGTTTGATAAATATCTAAATGTCTAAACAATCTACGAAGAAATTAATTTGAAATTCGGTGGAGTTTTGGGTATTTTCTATGAAACAGTCGATTGGAAAAATTCATAGACAGTACATTGAAAGAATAATCCATTTTATATTTAGTAATCTTTTTTTATTCTACTAAAACTTTTATCTTATTGCTTGTTAGGTTGACATCTATTCGTTTGATTTTTGTTCATTAAGTAAACACGTGATTGTTTTTGATTTTTGTTCATTAATTAGTCACTTCCAATTGGAGAATATTAGAAGAGATTTAAGAGAGTGAGTTTTAAATAGCACGAAGGTAAAGTTTAAATTGGTATTTTAATTTAGATTGAAATATACTACCCCATTATTGATGATAAAATTATTTAAATGGGAATAACCGTTGATAATTAGGTACATAAAAACAATCACGAGTTTACTTAATGAGAGAGATAAATAGCTATATAGATAGATCAAGTGTCCTATGTGTTGAAATGGGATGGGATCTTATGCAAAATTCTATTTCATTGGATACTTGCTATCCTTGTCAGGTACCACATTTGTTACTTCACCTTTGTACCTGCAAATCACGTATTTCTGTTATATACACTTGATACTTGCACTCAGTAAAGGCCCAGAATCGTTCTAACCTCAAAGATAGAATGCTTCATCTTTCTGTTTCCAATGAATATTTTGTGATTAAATGTTGTCAAATACTATCCATATAGCATGGCTGTAACAGCCACACTATTACACTGCTATAGCTGTACTACCTTTTTATCTATTATGTCAAAAATTTATATGCAGGTCTGGTGCAAGGGTCACATGGGCCCCTAACAAATCTATGATATGGAGGCCCCGCTCTACTACATCATAAGTTTCATATTA